TCTTTCCCCAGGGAGAAGATGTCTCATCTCTATTGATCTCAGCCTGCAGTGACTTCTAAATTGTTTTATGCTGAGATCACATCTAGATCCTCGGAGAGCTCTTCATTGAGCTGCTGAGAAAAGTACTGCTGAGAAAAGTGATCAAGGTTCAATGATGCGATTAGGTCTAATTTGTTTAAGGGAGTCATTGGGAGATACAGATCAGCTGGTGAGGACAGGATGGAGGCTCTCAAGTTGTCCTAATAGTTATATTCTTCTATTGTTCTTTAACATTAGAGGTTGGTGAGAGCTGGGTATTCTGGACATTTCTAAAGCAAAAGAGAAAAGTGATCTTTGAAAATGTCTTGTGGTAATGTTATGGGGTAATGGGAATCACCACAATATGAACACTAGAAAGCCATTTGGGAAGGAAAAGCTAGTCCAGTGAAGGTTAGCAATGTCTCTATCCTCTTTGCCTCTATCCAGACAAGGGAGGATAGTCATAAAGTTGAGGTGGATAAGAGAAGAGAAAAAGAGAAAAATGGTTGGCAGCAAGGAAAATGCATGAGAAGATTTTAGATATAACATATTAGAATACGAAGAGATGGACATAACCACAATATTGCCCCCTCCCTCCCTGGCTAGATTCATTCATTACTTGCAGTGACTGTTGGCTGTAAACAACCCTTAGTTTGAGTGAAATGCACAAACAAGACTGCCCATCTAGGAAGCCTTTCTTCCTGTCTACTCTCCAACCCACTGAGTTCCTGATTCTTTTAACTTTGTGGGTTACTGGCACACATGTGTCATTTATTCACTCCATCATCTTTATTGAGGCCAAAATCTTAGTACAGGAAGCACATTCGCTGGTCATTAATTAGCTCATCTGACTGTCACCAAAATCCTGTAAGATAATTATATATTTTTTGTCTCTATTTCATAGCTCTCCTTCACTCTATGACACATAACCTTTGTTTAATACAGGGATTGGATCATAGAAAGTGCACAGAGTGAATGAACAATACATGTTTATTAAATGAAGAACCTTCTTTCTTGCTATTATAACAGTTAAAAAGAAGTTATGGCATGGACTATGAGAACCTGCTGCCTGATGCTGGGTACCAGGTGAACATTCCATCCCTACCACGAACTTTCTCCTAGAATTGGAAAGGGATAAGGCAATCTTTCTCCCTTCCTTGGAGAAAACAACTGTGAGTGGTAGGAAGCCATGGGAGAGCAAAGATGACAAATCTACTTGGCTCATCATCCTTCACTAGTTTCTTGTTAATCAACAGAGGGACCAAATGCTTTCCAAAGAACAGAAAGGTGAGTCTGGTCATTATGCTCAAGTAAGTAAGTGGGAGTAGAAATATTAGCAAAGCATGCACTTTCCAGTTATTTGAGACAAATTTTTAAGTATAAAACAGAGCCCCAAGGGTCACTGAGTCCAACCTATCATGAAAGCAGCAGGTTAATACTACCAGGTTTCATGAACATCTTCTATGTGTTGGGCACTGTGCCAAGCACATTACATGCCTCAGCTCTTTATAACCTAGCAGTGAGTCTATGATGCAGGTCTTCTGAAGCTCATTTTATAGCAGAAGAAACAGAGATTCAAATGGTTAGGCAATTCCCTGGTGGGGAGTAGAATATTATGTAATACTATTGGTTGAGGCAATGTGCCAGGCTTTGAAGCAATGAAAGTTGGGTTAAAATATCAGCTATGTGGCTTTTCATTGTGTCACCTACTGTAATGTTATCTACCTCAGAGGACTGCTGTAAAACTCAGAGGGGATAAGATGCTTAATAGATGCTCACAAATATACTAGTTCTGTTCTGAAAAAGTAAGGAGGACTTAACAAGGAAAATCTTTGTAGAATGAGGCATTCCAAGTAAAGAGAACATTTAAGAGAGAATTTGAGTTAAGATGACTATGGTTTTGAGCTCAGGGGGAAAGCAGCAAGTGCTGTTCCTGACAAGGTAAGTAGAGTGGAGGTTGTAAAATGTCTTGTATGCCATGTAAATGAAACTGAACTTCATATTGAGATACACAGAAAGCTGTTGAGAAATTTTAAGCAAATGAGTGACATAAAACTTATATTTTAGAAAAACATTAGGGACACTGATAGTTTCCATCCATCCACCCATCCCTTATCACATCCATTAATCCATTCATACACCCATCTATCCATGCATCCATACACGCATCCATGCATGCATCCACCCACCCACCCACCCTCATGATTAATCTATCCACTCATTCATCTATCCATCAACCCTTCCATTTACCCATCAACCCATGCATTCAAGAATAATTATTAAAGGTCAGGTTTGAGTCTAGAGTAAGGCTAATATCTGAGGAAAGAGGTTCCCAGAAATGTTCTTTGCTCTCACGGAGTTTCTAACCTAGTGAGATCAGTTAGGAGACTGTTGCACCAATGCAGACAACACACGACTATTTTGTGGGTAAATGGAGCATCAGAGGAGATGAGAAGTCAGAGTTCCTAAGGAGTGTAAAAAGACATAGCTGGGAGATTGACTGGATATGTGGTTGTGAGGCAAAGAGAAGGGTTAAGAAAAGGAAGCAAAGAGTGGAATGGGAGGACAGAAGAAAGAAGGGAAGGAATATTATTAACACATATCCTTTTGTATATATGGTGACTAAATGGAAAGTTTTATGTTTATATAAGCTTTGCTAGAAACAAGACCATACATGTGTGTAGAAATATATTTATACATACTTATGCTGATCTAAATTTACATTTATGAAGATCGATACAGACACCTATTATATACTTGTGTGTATATACACTGCAGCTGTTGACACACATATAGTCATAAAAGCTTGGTGCCAAATTTTTCCCGTTGAGTAGTTCAGCACACCTGAAATTTTCTGAACAGAAAAGTGAAGAAAACATTCACACAAATAAAAGAAAAAAATTCTCTGTGTTAATCTCTTATGGGAAATCCAACACTTGGAGTGAATTATATTTTTGCATAAGTGATTTTAACTAGATTTGAGATGGTTAGATGCAGTGTTCTAGTTCCTGGGCCAAAAGTGCAACATGACATTAGATACCTAAGGAACTATTCATCTATGAAATATGGTTTCTACTCAAGAAATAGAAGCACCATTCCTTTCTATGAACAAAGGCAAAAAATTCTTTGACAGTATTTTCTCTGAAATGAAACTAATAGAATACATCCATGTCTAATAAATACTCATTAAATGAAGATTATTTTATCTTGTTAGTATGGCATTTAAAAAAGAAGTTACAGGAGTCAGCAGATGGCATAATGGTTACACCACCAGACTCCCACATGACTGACCATAGCTCAAATCCCAGACTTGATGACTTGAAAATAATGCCAGGTGCATTTGCTTGCATATCCAAGATCCAGGGAGAAGAATGGAGGAGAAGGGATTATGGCATGGTCATTCCTCCTGGGGAGCGGGGGTGATTTCTCACTTTCCCTCACTGTCTCTGTTTCTCTCCCTCTCTGGAGAGCACACATGGCCTAAGGCAAAAACACCTTTAAAAAAATAAAGAAGTTACAGTTCCATGGGATATTAGACCCAGAAAGGACAACTTAGTTGAGCTATTCAGTCCATGGGTAATATGCTATCTACAGAGAAGCTCCGTGACTTCTTGGAGGGTGTAGGGTATATTAATGGCAGGGCTGGGACCAAGGTCCTGTTCTCATCCTCCCCCCATTTTCTTTCCCCAGTCCCTCAGAAATGTCTGGCATCGCTCATGAATTTGGGAGTTTTATGTTAGTTTAGGAAGTCCAAAAACTTAAACATGCAAAGATAAATAGGATGAAAATGAGTTGAGAAATAAATTGCACAGTTTGGCTCATGGAAAAGTTTATTTCTTCAAGGATATTAAAACGATCTGAGCCAAAAGGATCACAGAGTCTGTAATAGGATGCTCTAAAAAAAGAACAGTCTTTTCTTGGCTTGCTTGTACTAAATTTACATAGGAGGAAAACCCAGGGATGCTGGGTTTCCTTGGAGGCCTGAGTCAGCTCAGGGAACTAGAGGCTTCAGTACTTCCAGTTGAACTCCATTCTGCATATCACACTTTCAGAGGGTCAGGGACAAACCAGGAATAGACTTCACTAAATGACAGTTGGGAGGGACAGAGGTGTGTGATGTCTGGAAATTACTTTATTCAAATAAGGGACCAAACAGACCAAGATTTTAGCCAGAGAAGGTTTAAGACAGAGCCTTGATGATTCTACCTTCTAAAAATCTCTCAAGTCCATTGGCTTCTTTCCATTCTACTGTCACTGACTCACCCAGGCCACCACCATCCCTCACCTGGATTCAGCAATAGCCACCCAGAGCTCCCTTTCCTTTGGCACCCTCCTTTCCCAATCCCTTTTCCATAGAGTAGCCCAAGCAGTCTCTTTAACAAGCATGTCTTACCATATTCCATACTAAGATATGTGGTGTTTCTGCAATGCCCTCAGTGTGATCCAAACGCATCATCATCTGGTCATTATCCCAATCACCTGTCCAAACTCTCCTATACGTCCATCTTACCCTTTATGCTTTAGCACTATTTCATAAGTACAGCTTTTTTGATGAGATTTTGCTTAAGTAGGTTATACATTAGTAGTTATCATATTGTTATTTTTTATTTAAATTTTAATTTTATTTCAAGTTCTTTTATACATTTAATCATGTTATTTAGCTTGCAAAGTGAACATTCTAACATGTGTACATTTCTGCCCAGTCCTGTTGATAATACTATAAAGTTATCTTCAACAGATTATACCCCATTTCTTTGATCCATTAATGCTTTGCCTCTCTATTTTTCTCCTTAATGTCCTTGCTCAGACTCCACTGTTTCACTCACCCTCTTCTCACACTATATATGGTATTCACAACCATTTACTGTGTTTCTATATCCTTTAGTCATTCAGTTTCAGTCGTCAAGTGTGGATATTCGATATGTATTAGTGGAGACATACAATGTCTCCCCTTCATAGTCTGGCTTGCTTCACTCAGCAGAAAATCTTCCATATCCATTCACTTTCTGTCAAAATCCAGGGTCTTGTTGTTTTTTATGGCTGAGTAGTATTGTTAATTAAAATGAATAAACTTTAAAACTCAACACATAAGCATACATTCCATTGGATATCAGAGCATTAATTACATTACATGTTAGATATCCACTAAGAAACTCCACTGTGCTCTCAGGAGAGAATGAGAATGCAAAAAACGAATGATGTCATAATATTATTGTATGAATTTTAATTTGGAGGAGAGTCTAAAAACGTCTTTAGGAACCTCATAAGCCTCTGTATTGCATTTAGAAAATTTCCATTCTAAACATATTAAACTTCCTTCATATTCTCAAATGTATCTTGTTTGTGGCATTGTGACATTTCCTAAGTTGGATGAGGTCCCCTTCTTGTTGGTCTCCAGAACTCCTCTGTACTTCCATTTGCAAAGACTCCTTCTTGCTGGGTGTTAATTGCTCATGTACTTATCTGACTACTCTAGCAAATGGTCAGCATTGCCCTGTCCATGTGTCCAAGGCCCAGTGCAAAGTGCCTATCATGGTCACAGGTGAGATGGAGTCCACGCAAGTCCATAAAACATTGCAGATGACAGAAAAACACCTTCTTTAAGAACCCAAGATGGATTCAATTTGGGTAGAGAAATACAAATCTAGATTAAAGGAAGAACTTCCTGAAAAAAAAAAAAAAAGCTAGAACAGGGTGCTGGGGAACCCCAGCGAAGTAGTACATAGAGGGGATTCCTACAGTGGGTGAGGTCTGGGGCAGGATGACCTCAGGAGCCCCTTCAGAGTCTTACAAACTGTGATTCTGTGGGGCTCTACTGAGGGTTTCTCCCAGGCATCCCTCTTGCTTTATATTCCAGATGGATTTGTTTAGAATTCCTGAGTTTGACTCTCATTTTATTTTAAGCTACTTTAGAAAATAAAGACAGTGCCATCATTTTCAAGCTTCACTTTTCTCTCTGATCCTTCTTGCTTTATTCTATCTCTGGCTTTTCCTTTCATCCTTCTTTCTAAAAATATAGAGGATAGCAGAGAAGTTCTCACTGGTGCTCAATGAGGAGACCAATTCTACTCTCTCTGATGAGTTGTTGTAATAGTGTCCTCACCCAGCTCATGTTGACATGAGCTGACCTACACAGGAGCACCAGAGACTGGTGGTAGCAGGGTCTATGCTGAGGTTTTTGAGGGCCAGATAGAGGGAGATGGAAGACAGAAAGGAAAGTATGTGATCTTGGCCAGTCTGGCTTCAGGCCAGTGATAGTGCACCCATGAGCATTTGGCAAAAGGTACTCTCTTAACATGTATAGGAAACAGAGTGGCTATTTTCCACAGAAAACTGTGATGCTGTAAGGGGGCACAGAGATCTTTAGGAGAACTAGGAGTTAGCCCTTAAGCAGGTAAGGGTCTGATCATGGATGAAACCCATGCAGTAGCAATTGTGAGGTGCTTCCCTGAGTATGCAGCAATGAAGTGGATCCTAAAAAGGAGGAAAAATAAAAGAAATTAAAAGGAATAGCTGCGACACAAGTGAGAATGCCCTGAGTACTTTCAGAATGGGGGACAGACTTCACCAACTGATAGCTGGCTGGAACAGAGGTGTGTCCTACTACTAAGGAAGAAATCTTACTACTCAATCCTTGGAGTCCCAAAATATATGTATTGACTCTAATATGACTATGTTTGTACCTACAGGCAGTTGGCTACATAAGTACCCCCACCTACTATGTCTTTATTAGATGTGCAAGTCTGAGTACTTATTTAATATCTTGTTGCTTTTGTTTCCTCATATGCAACATGGAATAACATACCTAGGGCAGTAAAAGTACTCAAAAAACACTTGCTGAGTACAGGAGTGCATGAATATTGTCCTTGAAGAGTGATCTTAAGAGCAAAGAAGACAATACATTGGAAAGACCATTAAAAATCATAAAACTTCATATGCATTGAAAGAGTTGGTTTTTGCAAATGCCACTTGCTACTAAGCTTCCAGAAACTGGCTTACCTTCTGCTTCCCGAGGGCTCCAGTGTCCTGATGGGCCACAGGGCATAGGGGAGGAGGCGTTGAAAGCATACTGTACCAGGACTCTCCCTTCCAAGCAAAGGTCACATGCTGATCCCAATTCTCTAGGAGGCCAAGGAAAGAAGGACAATACACCGACTTAGGAACAGTTGAATGAGCAACTGATGACACTAGACCAAAGGCAAAGGGCAGAGCACACAAGTTCTTGTTGCCCCCTTTTCTTCCTACATATGCTAAGGTTTCCAGAAAATGACTGAAAGCGAAATTCTTTCCCATTGCCTAGAAAGGACCTTGTTTGGCTCTAAGTAGCTTTTGCTCTGATGGTCAATATACTTTTCTAATTTTAGGCAGCATAGAATCAACAGGTAAAGATCAGTACCTGCAAGAATTTTAATCTCTTCAAGTATGAAAAGCTCCCCAAGAATTTGCTGTGCAGTAGTGAAAACAATGTTTTATTCTACTTTGTCCTTAAAACTTACTTCCTTGAAAATACAGATCTAGTACTTGCGATGTGCTAGGCAGCAGCCTGTGTCTTAGGCATGACATATTAAAAAGATGTAGTTTCTTCATCTTAATATAAGTGGACTGGATTAGAGGATGCCTAAAGAACCTTCCAGCCTCGACATTCTGGGATGAATGAGTCACACTCCTCAGCTTAACAGTCAAAAGCAGTTTCTTTACCATGCCATCTAATTCATTCTAGCAGCTTTCCAAGGGATAAGCCAATTCCTCAGTTAGATCTGCCCCATAAGTGGAATATTATGGTGGCTTCCCCTACCATCTTGTGTCTTGTGTATCTGGATTCAATCTCCCTTTGGCTACAACAGCCTCTGGGAGCCTGCTTGTTATCCAGATTTGGCACCCATTTAGGAGACAGCTATGGGGAAAGACAGGGATGAGTCTTTTGTGTTATTGTGGACCCCAAACTATGCAAATCGGAGCAAGTTCTGCAGAGGACTGAAAACTGAATCTTGGAAATGTGTCAAGAAATGTCTCACCCACACTCTTATTGCTCAAAGTGCTATGGCCCTGTTCATATTTTTTTCATCATTCCTAGAAGAATCTTTATGTTTTGGCTACTTTAAAGAAAACAATGAAGGAACCAGGTCTCAAGTCTTAGGGCTTTCCTCTCACAGGAAAACTCTCTATGTCTCTGGGCTCACAAGATATGGAAGAGTGCTTGTGAGCATCACAATCTGCTGGTGGTCCCCATATCTCCTCCATATGACTGCCAGGAAATCATCCCCAAACCTCCATCTAAACAAGTTACAACCCTGTTTACCTTTGGTGGCTGCAGCCATGAGTGCCCTATGATGTAGCATGCATTTTCCTTGCAAACTACACCTCTCATGATTCTAGCATTATTTCTGGATTTGTGAACTTGACCTAACTACCAAGTTGTGTTGTGTCTCTCACTTCTGCACCATCACTCTCCTCCCCCAAACTTTTTTTGCCTGGCTGATGTTCTGATCCTGCATTGTTCACCTTAAACATCATTTCCTCTTTGAAGACTTTTTCATGTAGAAGTGAGTTTTTCTCAGTAGACTTTGAGGTCCTTGCAGATGAGATCCATGTTTTATGATTATTTTTCTATCAGGGATCAATACACAATTTACTATGTGGGGGGCAGCATATTTAGTTGGATGGACAAATGGATGGATGAGTGAGTAAATACCAATCACTCACATGTGTCGCTAATACTCAGAACTAACCTAGTCCAGATCTTCAAATTGTATATTTTTCATACTCAACTCTATCATCTTAAACATGAAGCCATACATAGGTAAAAAGTTTGCAAGCATACAAATATTCAATGATAGGATAATAATTAAATAGTCTATGGTTAATCTCCTTAAGGGAATGGTAAGCAGTTACCACAACATTATTTATAAATATTACATAATTTCATGAAAAATGTGCAAGTTATAACATTAAATGAAAAAGTCATATTCAACGTGGAATCTACAGGACTATCTCTATGATGTGAAAATAACGTCATGTGACAAAATATTATCTGCGTAATTTCTAAATGGTGAAACATAGGATGATTGATTTCCCTTTGCTAATTCTACTCTCCCCAGTTTTTTGAATTTCCTGTAGATCTTAAATACATATGAGCTAATCTTGGACTGTGATATGAATAAGTATATTTACTTGTAGGTAGAGTTAGAGGTGAAGGGAGAGACTACTAATGAGGTCAGAGTTCCTTTACAATGACCACAATCCATGCACAGCTGCTCTGACCACATGACTAGACTGTTGATGATGATGAGATTACAAATGCCCTGGAAGAGGTTCAGGAACCATTCTGATCTCTTTTTTTTGGGGGGGGAGAGGTTTTCGCTATAGGGTGCGTGCGCTTGCCAGACAGAGAGAGACATAGAGACAGAAAGCAAGAAATCACCCCCTGGGGGGATGAACATGCTGCAGTCCCTTCTCCTCCATTCTCCTCTTGGGATCTGGGGCATGCACGCACACGCACCCGGCGTGAGTTTTAAGCCACCGGGTCCAGGACGCGAATCGCCGTTGACTACATGGGAGTCCAGAGACATAGCCATTACGCTAACTGCTGGTTCCCACCATTCTGATCTTAATAGCCATATATTCTTTCTATTTCTCTAAACTTTTTTTCTTTGTGTTATACACATAAAGTCACCTGAACTTCATTGAATTCTTCACACACCCCAGGTTCCCAAAAAATACTTTGACAAGCATTTAAACATTATCCACATGACAGCAAATATGTAATGTCTAACACATCCAGGGAGTATGTAATACATTTTCTATGTTTGTCATTTATTTGATTTTCATGGGCATGTGTATCTATACACACATGTACACATACACACACACAATGAAATCTCAGACATACAGGATGCTAATTCTGAGAGAGACTATCTTGCTTATACAGGTTCACAAAGGTCAAACTTAAAGGTACAATGTACAACATGTCCAGTATTGCAGCTAACAGCCACATGTGGCTATTTAAATTGAAATAAATGGAAATCAAGTAAATTGTTAAATTTTATCTCCCAGTCACATCTCAAGTGCTCCATAGCCACACATGCCTAATGGCCATCAACTTGGATAGTGCTTTGCTAAGGCATCCTGTACATGATAAATTAACTTCTCTCCTATATAACTATCATGGTACTAGTTAAAGCTAGTTCATCTTTGAGAGAACATAGCTACTCAAATGATTTTCTGTGTCTGACATCGGTTAAGAAAAGTTAGAACCCCTCCGTCTTACACATAAGAAAACTGAGACCGAAGAGAAAGAGGTTGCAAAGGCTTCATATACAGGTCTCTTGGTTCCCAGTCCAGTATTCTGTCCAACACACCATAGCCAATTGTTCATATAACTGAAACCATCCAGTCAACACATGCTTGCAAGACAGATAAAAATAAAGGAGTCAGAAAAACCAGGGGTGGCCTTGAATTATTTATTCAGTTGCCCATGTGTGAGGACACAGGCTGTGGGAGGATCTGAATATGTTTTTTTAAGGGAAATCCTTGTATTCTCTTAGACCACAGATGTGAGAACAGCAGGAGGACATGAGGATGGCCAGGGGCGAGAGGTTGGCATTGATGGATGTAGTGGAAAACACCAGAGGTTTTGCAGGGAAAGGGAATTTTCAAGTAGCTAAACAGCTCTGGAAAATGTTGCACAAGATGGGAGCTAATATTTTTTGAATGTAGAGTGTATGTGCTTGGCATATCACAGATGTTGTCTTGTTGAATTTCCCTCAAAAGCCTGGTGAAGTAGGAATGATTAACACCTTTTAATAGAAGAAGGTTCAGGATGAGAAAGGTGAGACGGCTTGCCCAAGGTTTCAGTGACTGAGAATAATGAAGCCAAGGATTGAAGATGAATGACCTGACATCCAAGCTGGTATACTAAGCTAATTTCCATGCATATAAATTCCATGTGTATGGGAGAACAATATTCATAAAATGTAGTTCCATTTCTTTACAACAGTTTACTGAACTTGTGGACCAACTTCCTTTGGCCATAGACTATGGTCTACGTAGCTGTTAACCCTAATTAGACATGTTTCAAAAATGTCAGTTTTAATTTAACAAATGATAAATCCATTATGAAATCTAAGACTGAACAGAATAGCTATTGTATAAGCCACAAGAACCAACTGACTATAGGTTATTAAAAACATATTGATTGAAGCTGAGGGCACTATGTAATAGAGACATATCTCATTACACAACAATTAACCTTCCAATAGGTTTCCAACAATCAGATGGTATTTATTTAATGGACAATAACTGCTTTATGAAATACAAATTGAATGCATACACAGGAAGCTTCATTTACAAAACTTCCATTTTTAAGTGCAATCTAGGCCAAGGTTTGACCAAAAGTCTGATACTTCTCATTGCCGCAGAAAAAATAAATAAATCTCCAGGCTGTTGGAAAGCTTGCTCTGAAGTGTCACATGAGGTTTCCCAAACCTGGCTCTGAGCTCCCATGGAAGGTGGCTGGGTCAGAGGAGGGGGTTTTCTACAGAGAGACTAGGACTAAATTTTTTTCCTTGGTTATCACATTCACTTAGCTGTGAAAGAAAGGTTCTAGATTTAGGGATGGATGGATAGTAATGTAAAAATTAGAGCCTAATTTTTATGTGGTACCATGATCTAATTTTTTATTTTTATTTTTTAAAATTTTATTTTTAATTGACATAAAATAATTGTATATATTTATGGGGTACTATGTGATATTTTGATATATGTTTACAGTGCAGGATGATTAAATCAGGCTAGTGATCAAATCTATCACCTCTCATACTTATTTTGTGTGTATGGTAAAATATTTAAAATATATTCTTATAGCAATTTTGAAATATGCATGCACTTTAATTTTAGTTACCATTCTGTGCAATAGACCACAGAAACTTAATCCTCTGGTGTAACTCAAACTTTGAGCTCTTTTAGCAACATCTTTTCTTTCCCCATCCAAGTCCCCCTCTCCTAGTCTTCGGCAGCCATCATTCGATTTATCTATGTGTCCATCATTTGTGGATTCCACATATAAGTGATATCATGTGGTATTTGTCTTCTTATGTCTGGATTACTTCACTCAGCATAACATCTCCAGGTTCATTCATGTTGTTGCAAATGACAAGACACCCCCTCACCCCTCATTAAAGGTGGCATAATATTCCACGATGCACACAAACCTTGTTTTTGTTTTTTATTCATTCATCTGATGAAGATCACCTAGGTTGCTTCCATAGCTTAGTTATTGCAAATAATGCTGCAATGAACATCAGGATGCAGACATCCCTTTGGCATACTCATTTCAATTTCCTTGGCTATATACCCACAAGAGGGAGAGCTGGCTTATGTGGCAGTTCTATTTTTAGCTTTCTGAGGAATTTCCATACTGTTTTTCATAAGGCCTGTATTAATTTACATTTTCCCCAACAGTGCATGAGGATTCCCTTTTCTTCACACTCTTGCCAACACTTGTTATCGTTCTTCTTTTTGACGATGACTATTTTAACAGGTATGAGGTGATATCTCATTGTGGTTTTAATTTGTATTTCCTTGATGATTAGGTACGTATACATCTGTTGGCTATTTTTACGTCATCTTTTGAGAAGTGTCTATTTAGGTCCTTTGCCTAATATGTTTTTATGAACACACAAACACAGACACACATACTTGCAAATGAGAGCTTCTTGCCTCCTTTTCATTGCTCTTTTGCAGGAAAGTGAGACAAATCTTTTATACTCTAGTTTTGGAGCAACTTAATGAAAACATATGGAAGTCTGAGACATGACATTCATTGCAAAATATGAGTTGGAGTCAGCCCCCACCACTTTTTATGGGCTCTTGGTTAAATCTCTCAGCTTCTTTTAGCTTCTAGTAGGTCCTTATCTGGATAATGAGGGAGATGATATCTTTTTACTGGAAAAATTAAATGAGACTCTATGCATAAAGCACCTATTCCATAATAAATTCTTGATAAATAGCAGCAACCACAACAAAGTAATACAAATTAATTATTGTCATGGTTATTTTTTTCCACCATTATCAATGCTATATACCCATTACCGGATGAAACACTTCCAAGAAGGGCTAGAGGTGGGTATAATAACACTAATCTTTCCTGAATTACAACAAAGCTCAAAAATAGATGTGAGCATCTTAGTCTAGCTTCATGACCCTTTGAAAGCTGGCTCCCATAAAGCTTTAGCTTCTCAATGATGCTTCATGTTAAAAGGTATCACAGAGACCATTTGTTCACTCTCTTCCTTCAGGCCACCGTGACATCATTAGATCCACTCTTCATGGGAGGAGAATAAGACTCAAAAAAGGAAAGTGGCAAGCCACCGTCATATAATTATTGACACAGAGAGGAGCAAAACAGTTATCTTACGCTCAGTTCATCATTCCCTAGTCTTCTAAAAATTTTATGTTCAGTTCTACCAAGAAACATAGGCACAGAGATTGTGATTGCATAGTACATTATGTATATATGTACACAACTATTTATACATAAACACACACATATCTCTTCATATACAAAATGAATACTACATAATATGAAGGGTGTTGTACATTAACTAGAGGCAATTGTAGTTTCTGAGCTCATGAAGACAAAACCAATACCTCTATAGCAGAGAAGATTTCTAGCAACAGAAGTTTTCAGATTTCTGAGAGGAATGTAAATCAAACATCCATTCACTTAAAAATATGGTATCATTATGTATTCATTTCTACTAGAAACCATTCATTTCTTCCCTGACATAAAGTTTGTAAACATACCTATTTTTACAAGCCACTATGCTACAGAGTGAAGGTAACCACTAAACAAAAACAAGGAACACAGCAAAATACCTCTCCAAGACTGCTTTTCTTCCAAGTTTCCCTCTTCTTGGCAGGAAAAAGGGAGAGGAAGGGATCAGCACTTCACAGGACACACTCACCTTTCAAAGAAGTGGCCATCGATGGGTGGGAACCACTCCAGTGTGATGGAATCCAATGTGTGGCCCACGATTTGGGGGGCAAGTGCAATAGGTGCTGGCTTCCTAGAGGGCTGCCAGCTCTGGTAGACTAAGTCCAGGTAACAGTGCATTCTGGCGACTTGATTGGGCGTGAAGGAGTCTGTACAGTCATCATCTATAAGCAGGCAGGGGGAGGGGAAGAGTGGTGTGAGAGATAAGCAATGAACTGCACAGGTGGGCATGCAAGAGAATTATGACATTTTCTGACTGACAGAGAACCGACACCTCAGCACCCCAGTCCTTCTTTGGCAACTCAGGGATGGACCCTTCTAATGCTTAAGAATTAATGGTCTGTGAACAAATTAGTAGAGTCATCACTTTTAGAGACAGGTAAGAAAATAGGAGAGTGGGGAGGATGAGTGGAATGAAAAAGTATGCTTGAAACTGGGAGAGAAACAGTGCTAAGTTCTAGCCAAGAATAGAGACAAGAAGAGCTTCTTTTTGTGGGCCCCAAATCCATTGGTCACTCAGTCAACAGTTCCTTCCCTATCTCCTTCCCTTATCTCCCATTTAGTATCTCTCATTCATTCACCCATTCACTTACATACACTCACTCACTGACTTATGCATTTACCAGTTCCTTAACTCATTCCCTCATCCCCTCACTTGCTGATTCCACTAGTCACAGATGCTATCCTGCCATTCAAACAAGCCTGAATGTCTAATACATATTCTCTGCTTTTTTCCAAGGGGCATAGATAGATAAAGTGTAAAAAGTTCCCACCCTTCAGGAGCTACTACTCTAGTTATTAGGCCAAGAGCAGTTCAGTGCATGAGAGAAGGTTGCTATGTCTGTGAGGTCAACTATCTGTGAATGAAGGGGGGCAGCATGTAAAGGACAGAGGGTACTTGAGGTCAATCATATTACATGAGGTAATTTTGGGAAAGAGATCGCAAGAGAGGGAGCCACAGGACCCAGAGGCACAGAGTCCTATATAAAGAACAGAGACCAGAAAACTGACCAGACCTCGGAACATCCCAGGCTCAGTATGTATGATAGGAATATGAGCAATGTCATCTCCCGCACAGTAATGTCACCGAGATGTTTATTGCATGCTTAGAAGGAGCCAGGCACAGTGCATTGTGTTTTGGACATATTTAACCTCTTACCTGCCCTGCTATTTTTGGAGTATATCCTATTAATATTATTTTCTCCATTTTACAGAGGAAGAAACCAAGGCTGAGAGAGGGCGACCAACTACTCCAAGATCATAGAGTAAGGGACAGATCTGGGATTTGAACCCAGGCCATCCTGATTCCAAAGCTGTGCTTCTAATTAGCATGAGAATTTTTTCTTATACGTTAATAATATCTTGTTCAGACAAAGTACCCTGCAGATCTTTGATAAATGGGAGTTAAGCCTGAGTCTGAGGAGGCTTGGAACTCAATTTCTCAGGTGTCTTTAGATCTAATGACTTTCATTCAATCCTATCCTTTCTTTTCCAGAGTGTGAACTGAAGGTGGTGACCTAAGAGCCAGCCCCCAGGGAAGAACTGTGCCTCCTGTTTCTTCTAACAGTTTTTTTTTTTTTTTTTTTTTTTTTTTTTTTTTTTACCCCAGTTGCTCTAGGAGAAGAGAAAGGCACTGTTTTGGCATGGTTTCCAAAAACACCACTTCCCAGAGGTGTCTGCCTGATCAGGATTTCCGCAGCTGGGCCCCAGACTAAGACGCACAGGGCTCGCCAGCTCTGAAAATAAACTGGCTACTGGGAATCCTTCAGTATATTCACTTCTTATCAAACAAACAGAAAATAAGTTTGAGCAGTTGAACGCGACCTTGAGAATCCAGTTTAGTTGAGATACAGAGGTGCAAAGGAAGTTATCACAGAGCTGCCTCAATCCCCTTAGTAATTTTTTTGACTGCTTCTTTTCCAGCACTTCAGGGACATCTTTAATACATTTGGAAGAAGCAGAAGAACCTGATGTCCTGTAACAAGTGCTGTGCAAAAGTGACCAGTCAAACAAGTCTCTCTCAAACCTGGATGGTACCATGTAGCTCCTTGAATGCCAAAGATTCTATGGGTCCTCATTGCCTGGTGTCCAAATGCCTCAGTGTGAGAGTGGCCAGATCACTTTTTACTGGTTACTATGAACTTTGCACTCCACATTGAATGCTTTGGCAAAGCCACTGAATACATGAAATAAAGAGAAGGCTATGATGCCTAAAGAAGGAAGTGCAGCTGTAGAATTGGATTAGCATGCTTGAATCTAAAGTCAAATGAGTGAGCGAGTCTACACACTCAGTGCCTCAGTTTCCCTCTATGTGTAGTAGAGCTGATGATGACAAGAGTGCTCATTGTAGAACACTGCTGAGGTGACACAGCATGGAACACCAGAATAATGTTAGCTTCAACACAAGTATCTGGTAGATGAGCACTGTTTCTGTAGTGTGAGTGTTTGCACAAAGGTATGTTTCTGTTTATGTGTGTGAGTATTGGAAAACTCATAGCAGGAAAAAAACCCAGAATGTAAAATATGCATTTTCTTTAACAATACTGCACTTCTGAATTTGATAGATACTTGTGGACAAGTGTGGGGGAAATATATGAACCGAGGCATTTCTTAAAACATCATTTATAATAGTGAAAATATTAAAAACAATACATCAGGGCCAGCCAGTAGTGTAGTGGTTAAGGCAGCTGGATCCCACAAGGCTGACTACATAGTTCGAGGCCCAGACCTGTCAGCTTGAAAACCGTGCTAGGCATGTGTGTGCATGCTCAAAATCCTGAGAAGAAAATGGAGGAGAAGGGATTGCAGCATGGTCATCCCCCTTGGGTGGTGCTTTCTCATTTTCTCTCTCTCTCTGTCTCTCTCCAGCAAGCACACATGTCCTATAGTAAAACAAAAGAAAACAAAAACGAATAAATAAAAACACATCTGTCCATTAATAGGGAAATAGCTGTGAATTTTAAGGAATAGTTATAGAAAAGAATGCTAATAAAGCATTAAATAGTAATAAAAGGGCTAGTTCATCAAAAAGATATAACACAAAAATATCTATGCACCCAACTCAGGGGCACCCAAATACGTGAAGGAAGACTGTTAGATCTAAAAGGAGAGATAGACTGTAACACACTAATTGTTGGGGATCTCAATACCCCACTATCTCCTTTGGACAGATGATCTAGACAAAAAATAAGCAAAGAGATACAGGATCTAAACATCACCATAAATTGAATGGACTCGAAAGACATCTGTAGAACCTTCCACTCAAAAGCATTATTTTAACATCCAGTAACATTAAGATTCAGTTTCCTCAAGTATAAATTGGGGTATTTGGAGCTACTCTAATCAACAAAAATTGAGAGGATTCAACAGACTGGGTCACATAAGTATTTCTTAAAATGACTGAGGATGAAGAATAAGCTAATTCTTCCCTCTATAAACTCCTTTCTTTTCTCTAAAGAAGTATATTTTTCTCTTATAACTTTCCTTGTTTGTCCATAAGAGTTTGAAAGATTAATAGGTAACAGACCTTGGGAAACAAGAATGTATTTTAAATATTAAAGCTGAAATTGGAAAATTTGGGTCCTAGAATTCATTTAGAGACTTAAGTCCTGTAAAAATCTTGGCTGAAGTACCAAAGGGTTTGGGTTCATCATAAGTGCTCTGTCACAGATAGCTAATGTTTAGTCAACCCTACTGCTGTGTTTCATCCAAGATCTCCCAACCATTATCTGTGGCCTCTTCTTTCTGTTCCCCCAGGACCAACAAACTCATCTTGTTCTTCTCTCTCCATCTTCTCCCTAGGCAGAAAGGACTCTAGGAACTTCAGCACTTGGAGAGTCTGCCCTGGTCCTCCAGCTGTTGATACAGTGCCTTGAGCTTGCTAACTGAACCTCATTTCTATTGTAGCTAGAATACCACATTGGCTCAGGGCATAGGCTTTTTGCCTCTACTCCCTATAGGACCTCAGGCAAAATGGTAAGTTCCAATTTCTTCATTCTTTACTCACTGTGAAATGAGGAATAATGGTATTATCTGCCTCATAAAGCTGATGAGAGCATTTAAGAGGTCACACCATGCCTAATGCGGGGATATCCTAGTTGCCCCATCTTATAAAAGTCCCCATGCTTTTGCTATGTTTAAAAAATGATAATGATACTAGCAGTCATAATTTTTTATTATGATTATGAGTTATAGATATTCACTATAGAATATTTGAATATGCTAAAAAATTTGTAAAAATAAACATTACCCTAAGCCTATTCTCTAGAGAGAATGCAAATAATATCTAATATGTATATGTGTGTATGTGTGTTTATGGATGTAAATATGTACAGTAAATCTATCAGTCTTACACTGTACATAAGGCTCTGTGACCTCTCAATAGTTAACATAAAATCCTACCTATTTTCATTGACTGAGCTCTAATTATGACACCAATGACAATTCTAAGTCATTTATTTGTGTGATTATGTCTGCCATTATGCAACATAATTATGAGTATCCTTACTGATATTGATAAAGTAATGGAGGAGACATACCTTGCTGAGATTAAATGTTGGGATATGTAGGCCAATCCACCAGTAGGGTGGCTAAGGCAGCTGGGTCCCACATAGCTGATGTCACAGTTTTGAGTCCCACCTAATGGCTTGAAAAACACACTAGTCAAGTGTTAATGCATGTCCAAAAACCCAACAGGAGAATCAAAGAGAAGGGATTGTTGCATGGCCTTACCCCCCTTGGAGGGAGGGGCGATTTCTCACTATCCTCTCTCTGTCTCTCTTGTGAGCACATGCACTCTTTAGCAAAACCATAAAAAAAAATTGAGATATAGAAAATTCAAATTTGGTCTTCTCACTGCCAACTTCATATTCTAAATTACTACATTACTTCTATTTATAGCCCTCAATCATCTTCTGTATCACTTTTTAGTGAACATATAATGTTCTATCACCTGAATGCCTTATGATTTATTTCAATAACCCATTATATATGGACTTGTAAGGAGTATTTAATTTTTCATACATATAAGCATTGTCTTCTATGCCTGGCATATGTTAAATGCCTAATAAATATCTGAATAGTAAGCATTGCTAAAAACATTTTTTAAAGAATTATTAATTTTATTTATTCTTACTATTTTTTAAAAAATTTGCTATAGGGCATACGTACTCACTGGAGAGAGAGAATGAGAGAGAGATTGAGAGAGAGAGAGAGAAAGTGAGAAAGCAAGTCACCAGGTTCTGTACTCATACTTTAGTTGGCCACATGGGAATCCAGTGCCTTAACCACCATGCCACCTACTAACCCCACCAAGAACATTCTTATAGCTAAATCTTCAAACACATCAACTAATTTATTTGCTTCACATATATTCTTTAGAGATGGGTTAGCTGGATCAAAGCCTGTGTGTGCATTAAAAGGCCCTGTCACATAGAAAGATGGTTGGAAGACACTTGTTCCTGTAGGAGGGAAAGCCAGATTTCTTGCATACTTGAGGAGTCCCTAACTCATGGATCTTCTTTGAGGACTCCCTATGACCAATTATCTTCTGGAAGTGAAGTTGGGTTGCTGCCTGTTTATTTGCCAAGGGTTTATCTAACAGCTCAACATAACCATACTCCCTTGGCGCTTTGCCCAGTCTGTGCGACTAGACTTGTTTCCATCACCTGGCAGGCAACTGCTTGATCTGAGCACTCAGGTCACTCTCAACTTTTTCCAGGACTGGAAAGTGAGGCAGATAATTGTTGGTTAATAACACAGTAAGAAAGATTTGGTTTTAAGTCTTCTCTTTTCCTTATTCCTTCTGTTGGACCCAGGGAAAGTTAGTTAAAGTACTTGAACTCTACATCTTGCATCTGCAAAATGTGAGTGAACGTAATACCCCTGTCTCCGTGGGTTATTTTGAAGATTCAATGAGACAGGTATATACAAAGTTTCACACAATGCTTAGCACATCCTAGATACTTAGGAAATCATTGTAGGTCTGCACTGACCCATGTGATAGCCACATCCATGTGTGACTATTGATTTAAATTGATTAGAATTAGTTAAGACTAATAATTCAAGTTTTTTGTTACACTTAGTTATATTTCAAGTGCCCAATAGTACATATGACTGGAGACTACCATGGTGGATAACACAGACATGGACCATGGTCATCTTTGCAGGACATTTTGCTGGACAGTGCTGCTCTAGGTCTGTCACCCATCTACTGACCAGGTTTGAAGAAGAAACACTCAGGAATGAAAAGCAACTGGAAGAAGCTGACAGGGTAATGTCTCTGCTTTCTCTTCTTGACAGAGGGAGCCCCAGTGCAATGCTCTCCCCAGTCCTGAGAACCAAACCCTGTTTTGCATTTTGAATTTCATCCAGCTGCTTTTGTCACCTCATCTATCAGAGATCCTAAGAAAAACAAACATTTCAAAGCTCGTGGTTGCCTTGAATATGCTTTTGCGGGTGTAAGTTTGTTATCGTAGCTCAGTGAATTAGTTCTGCTGTTAATGGGTCACTGAGCTGAGGGGTTCCTTTAAAAAAACAACAGTAAATCAATCACTCTTTAGATCTGTACAAAGAAGAACAGAAAAAAGATTTAGTTTATGGGGGTCTGGTAGCTAGTGGCAGCTCCTAGGCCCCTAAGAGGCCGGCAAACTTCCAAATGCATGTTATTGTTTATTTTCCATGTGTGTTGAACTGGCCAAGGGAAGGTGCTACAGAAATGGAACGTAAGCAGGGCTGTGTGAGGGGACAAGGCACCGGATGTGGAGTGTCAGTGTGGCTGGAAATGGGAGCCCAATGGGAATCTGCTTTTGAGGAAATACCCAGCACCCTTGTCTTTTTTTAAAGACCTAAATCTAAAGTCTCTTTATGATATTGAGGTGGGTTATTGGTCTTTCTAGAAACAGGAGGTTTTGGACTGTATAAACCTTATACTGGAAAGATCCACAGAAATAACCAGTTCTAATAAGAAAGAAGGAATAGCCATTGGGGATCATCAAATCTTTTGAGTTTCAGCATCAAATATCCTCTCTTGCAGTGCAATTGGTGACAAAATCCCACTAGGAATGTGAAACAGTTAGAAAGGAGGTCCCTGGTTTGAATAGGGCTGAAGACCTAGAGCCCAATGTACTCAGCCACCTGGGGCAGCCCTCTGAGGCATCCCTGTGGAATAGACAACAAAAACCACTCTGATTGCTCATTGTTCAACTTAATCATCATCTAGGTCTATTTTAAACAATGGCATAAGAGCAGATGAGAAAAAAATATCTGGAGTCAGATATATGACTTGGGGCAAATCATTTCAGTAAGGCTCAATATTTTCATCTCTAAAATGAGGGTAGTTCCCATTCCATAGATATGTCACGATAATTAAATAAGATGGAGTGTATCAAAGTCCTTTATGAACAATAAATTGCTATACAGGTGGAAATACTGTTATTGCTAAGAATCAATTTGATATACATGTTATAAGAGAATTTATTCATTTCTTCCCTACCCCCTTCCTATTCCCTTCTCTTCCTCTCTTCTTTTTTCCTAACAAATATTTATTAAGTACCAGACCCTTTGCTAGGTCTTGGGAAGACAAGGCTTTATAGATGCAATCTCTACCTTCCCAGATTGTGCTTATTCTACTGGGGAAAGAGATGTCTAAAATTAGTATTATAATAAAATACGATGTTGACCCACCATGTGTGATTGTGAGAGTCATGCTTTACACAAGGACTCTTGACTACGGGAGCCAGTGGTGAGAGCTGTAATTGCTTCGAGAAAAGCATGTCTTGTTCTAATTTGGCAAAGGTAATGGTCTTGGTGTATCATGTGCAAAATGGAAACACAGAACATTCTAGAACATAGAGAATGAGCCTTTGCTGCTGTTACTGGTGATATAAAAATGGCAATAATAAGATGCATGAAGTTGGGGAAGGGAAAGTACAATCTTGTATTATACTTTTTAATTTGTACAATCCAAAGCATTCCTTTTGTTTTTTTGCAAAAAATAGGGTGTACGGACATTTTTTGTTTATCTAAAGGGAGACCTGTGTTAAATCAAAAGGTTCAACAACCACTAGATTAGAAAAGTACAGCTGCAAAAGTGTGAGCGACCTTGGAAATCAAAATCAAACATTCCCTTTTCTTAAGAAAAATGAGCCCCAGAGAGGAGATGACCCAAAAGCATTAGGTGGTTTAGTGCCAGAGCTAAGTTTTCTACACTGGTACTCTGACTTTTGGTCCTGGTCCACTTCCTAAATTTATCTTTCTGAGGAAACTTGAAATACAACATATTCCTTGAACCTCTGAGGCACTCATGGAAACAATATTATTCTGACCACTTGGGATGAAACTGTCCAAGTTAGAAAAGGTTAAGTGGCTTGTTGAAGGTTTCCTGAGCCATGACTAGAGCCCACATCTGACATCTAGCCCATGCAACCTTCAGAGTGTAGGGTCCTACCTGCATAGCTCATGAAGTTGTTGTAAGGAGTGTTGAAGAAGCTATGAAAGCCGCAGGTGTCGTTCCCTGGCCCTGGGTCACCGCAGAACTTGTGTTTAGGGGCTGGGTTGGTGTCATTGCAGAGGTCTCCAGTCTCAAAGGAGGGCTCTGTCTCCATGCAGGGGTCACTGCAGGACTGGATCTCTGAGATGCCTCGGAAGATGTGATAGAGGCCGAGGCTGTGCCCAATCTCATGGATCATGGTGTGGGTATGCCCAGG